AATGTTAGCATTTCCACAGTTTCTCAACAGACACATTTAGCGCTGCGTTGTCTTTAGCTAAACAACTTACGTGTTGCTATGTGAACTCACGTTGCTTTATTGTGCAGATTGTATAAATTTGCCTTAGCGGCTAATTTGGCTGATTTGATTGAGTTCACTAAAATAGTTTTTTTTTTTTTTTAATAAAATAAAACCTGCAAAAACAGGAAATTGTATTGTGATGTGGCTGTACATTTATAATAATCAATTTTTTATAAAAAATGATGAATAGATGTTAAAAGCCAAGCCAAATTACAATTGATTAAAATCAACGTTTTTGAGCTTTGCATCATGTTATGTTGTCTCCTCATCTAAAACATTCTTGGAGTTTTGCCCAATTCTTTCATGGACATTTGAGGAATCCTTGAGTCTCCCGTGGCAACCATTCAGGTCGGCCAAAGCACCTAGTTATGCAAAGCACCACCTGTTGACGTAAAGCTCCTCCCTAAAGCTACAGTCTCCAGCAGAGCTGCTGCCGCCATACAGACCCTCTAGACTAGTGGCAGCAGCAATTATCAAACGCCTTGTGATACGACATAATGAAGGGGCATTGTTGTGATGACTTCCTGAAGGCGGAATGTCAGGAAGAGTAGGAGCTTCTTAAAGAGACAAGAGTCCCAATTTCAGGGCGTATTCAGTTAAATCATATTTGGCATATGGAGCATTTTTATAAGAATTGGAGGCAACATAATTGTCTTGGTTGCGCCTGAAAAACACATTAAACTTCCAACACCACCTAAGTTCATGATTGTTATAGTTCCAAAGCTGTGTGCTGACTCAGATGTGCATTTCTACTAACTTTGACACAAATGACTTCCTTAAAAAAATGTATTTGCTCAGATGGTTCAACCCTAGTCCATACAGTGAGCTTTTTAATGAAAACAAATTACTGCTCATTCAGCACTCCCTCCCTCTCCCTACAAGACAGCCAACACCAAACATTAAGCACAGTCAGGGATTCTCTAGAAGAAGAAAAAAAAAAGAAAACAGTGGATCTTGTGATTCTGCTGCAACCCTAAAAAAATACATAGAAACACGGATCATGACAATTACAAGAAAAAAGTATGGTAGTAATATAACTTTATATTTGTCATCCTACGACTTCGTTCTTGTACGACTTCTCGTAACATAAACTCATTCTTGTAATATTATTACTTTATTTGCATACTTTTAGTATTTTTTTGTTATTTTCCTATCATAAAGCTCCATTGTAACTGAATGACACCAGAATCCCAGAACTATTTGATTTCTCTTTATCCAACTTCTCTCCCAAACTGTGCAGGCAAGCAAATACTTGTCAGCCAACAACGAGCGATAAAAAATAAAATAAAACAAATAAAAAATATTCTCTTCTGGAAGCAACGCTGAAAAATAGATAAGGTGGATGTCAGGGCTCCTGCCTCTCTTTTTATGTTTTATTTATTTATATATTTTTTCTGCTCTGGACCTTTCCATCACCGCTGACAAACCTGCAGGAGTTCTGACTTGCCTTCAGACAAGGAAGTGTCATACAAAGCATCCACAACCTTGAGATGAAGGTTTTTTGCTTTGAGTGAAACGTATTAAATCTGATCCCAGCGTCCCATTGGTCCGGTTCCGTCCTGCTCTTTACTGAAACTTTAATCAGCCCCAGGCCTGAGCCCGGCTACAAAGCTGCGCTCGCTGCTTTGCTTTGGACTCAGTGCGCGGCGCCGCCGGTCATACCAGACCTTCCATTGTCTGTGCCTTGAACACGGCTCTGACGTGCGGCCGTGGCGGGAGCGACCTGCTGCCTGATGAGGCTCTTCGTCTGTTTCCTTCGCTGCTGATTGATTTTCTGCCAAAAGAAAAAAACAAAAAAACAAACTTCTGCTTTCTGTTTTTGGTAAACATCTCCATGCCAGTGAGCTGAGTGCCTTCAAACTGCGCAGTGTGGCAGGTTACAAAGGCATTCACACGGCTGAAGTTTCCCGGAGTTTATCTTCTCATAAACCACAAACTATGCGACGCACTGACACAGATTAGCAAATGATTAGGAAGTGGAAGAACAATAGCACAGTGTTTATTTACATTTATTTACAAGTGTATTAAGCCTCCTTCACTCTGATGACCTTAAATAAAATTCTATTAGGTAGAAATAATGCAAAAGTGTTGATAAAATTACTCCTTGTCTAATGGCTGATTCTTATTTTTATTTTTTACTTGCTGTAAAACAAACTTTTCACATGAAATGATGTCTTAATATGTAGTATCATGTTCTTCTGCAGTTGGAGCCAAATAATGAGTTGAAGCGATTTAATTACATACTCAAAACAACAACTTAGTACTTGTCAGTATGTATGTTGTATGGTTTGAGACTGTTGTAAATGAATTCTGCTGGCTTCGTATCACATGGAAATAAAAGTAAACTTAAGCTCGTTTTTAATCCAGTTTTTATATGGTGAATTTTAAAATATTTTTTTTTTTCTTTAGCCAATTATAGTGGTACAAAATCCATTGTGAATGGTTATGAGTTTCAACCTAAATTTTGGGTCATTTTAACTTTAAACAGTGGTCAATTTAACATAACCTTAGTTGCTCTAAATCAGTATGTTGGGTCAAACCATCAACCCAACCCAGTTGACTTAAAACACCGCAGCGTTGGCTCTGTCCAAATTTGACCCACCAATGGGTCACAAATTGAGTTGTTTTTAACCCAGCAGTTTTTAGTGTGTAAGTTCTTTATTAGTTAGTGTTATTAGGGGGAAAATAAGCCTGATGTGCAACTGTTTAAAGAGCCAGTATTGTGTAAAACCAACCTTTTATTTATTTATTTATTTATTTATTTATTTTAGCTTTACATAATGTTGTAATGTTATTCCATCAAAGGTGCATTTCCTTGTGCAGTGTCCTCTTCTTTACGTTCAGCGTGGACAGCCTGAGCGCCTCAGAAGCTCTGGAGCCACACAGTGTCACGCGCCTCCCTCACTTCACACGCCATTATTCTTTCTTTCTGCGCGTGACAAGCTGTGATTAGAATAGATGGCTTTGCCCACAGACAGGACATTTCTGCAGCGCGTCTCCGTGTGACAGCACAGGACCACAGAAGGACCGTCTTTCTGCGCCGAGGAGCAGCCAGGCTGACGCGTACTGAAAGCAGGCTGTTAATGTCAGCTTCATTGACATCTGTAAGAGAGAGAGAGAGAGAGAGACGCCCCTCCAACAGAAAATCGAACCACCGGGGCCGAAAAAAAAAAGTTTCGCCGCTCTCCTTAGTGGTCCATCACCTTCACTCCTAATGGGAAAAGTCGACATCATTTGTCCGTATTTCATCCATTCGGAACAGAGAACGTTTTCTTCTTTCGGAGGAAATCATTTTGAAGTTTAGTTTCTGACAGCACACCTCATCTCACTATTTCTTATCCAGTCCGTCTCGCTTTTACGACGACAATTTGTCCGTCGATGCCGTGACGTGGGCACACGTTTTTGAGTTTTCCTTTTTTCCTTCGTCTTCTTCTTCTTCTTCTTCTTCTTCTTCTTCTTCTTCTTCTTCTTCACACTCAGCAGTTTGCGCGGTCCCAGCGGTGTTCCCCGCCGCTGCGCTCTGCTCTGCCAGCGTCAGCGCTTTCATGCGGGCCTTTTCAGACGGACGGCCTGTCACACGTCGCTCAAACCGCGCCGCAGGAACCCGGCCGGGGCTCGCTGCGTTCACGGTTCTTTCACCTAACAAAGGAACCGCTGCCCTTTAACCAACTGACACATTTCTTTTTTTTTTTTGTTTTTTTTTTTTTGAAAATGTTCTTTTAATGTCAATCACGGCGACCATCTCTGATAACAAGCAGCAAGTAAAGCAAAATTAAGAAGTTAGCAGCCTTTGTTTGGAATTAAAAGACTGCTGTAGAATATATAGGGAGATTGTAAACAGCTGGCCAATATGAACTGATAAGGTGCTAATGCTATGCTAGTCTGTCATCTGTCAATATCACCTTCCACACACTTTCACAAGTCCAGTTATAATTCAAGAAACCTGTTAAAAACAACAGGTTTTCTCTTAAATTTACCTTTGAAGGTGTTGCTGCTCTTTTCTGTGGCACATACTGAGCAAAAGTGAAATCTAAGGGCTTTTTCTGCGGCAAATGAGAGGAAAGTAAATTGCAAAATTCAAGCTACAAATTAGATTTTTTCCCTCTAAAGGCGCAGTGTTATGTGTTTTCCAGTCACAAAGTTTCATTTTATAGCACAATCAATATGGGGGGTTTGTTGGCCATATGGAAATTGGTTTATTTCACAAAATTGCAATGAAACACTTTTTTTCACATCACACTAGACACCTGATCAAAAACCGGGCGTTACTACTTGTAGAAACATGGAAGAAGACGACAGGAAGTAGTTGGAGGATGAAGGCAGGGCATGTTTGTTATTAACTTATCGCATGAACAAACTTATTCCCATGTGATTTTAATTGTGTTCTTTGGTTAATGGAAAAACTACAATTGCAGAATTTATTTTTTTCAACATTAGAGGAATATTGACAAGGAAACGCAGCAACTGTTGGTTACTAAGAGAGAGCATGTAAGATGCCTTGTTAGATTCTCTGTTATTTTGTAAGTGTTGACTGCTGTATATTTCAGTACTGAGAATTTAACCAATGTTGTGAGTGCCTGCATTTTTTAAATTATTATTAATATTTTAGCACAAGATGGTGTACAGAACTTAGAACATTACTCAGTTTTTCCTTTTCTTTTTCCAAAACAAGCAACTTTCACATAAAGGGACAAAATACGACATGTTAAATTTCTTCTAAAGTAGACTAAAGCTTAGTGCACAAAAACAGCCAAACAACTTAATAATCAAGGACCTGAGGTTCCTTGATTGCAGCATCGGTCCTTGTGAGGAACTTCACTCAGCTGTCTAGACGTTTTGTTTCTCCCTGTTGTTCTCCGTCATCAGGCAGCTGTACAATTTTTATCATTTTCAACTTGAGCCTCACCGGCCATTCAGATATGTCTGCTCTGCTCAGCGGAGCGTTGATGCCATTTGCCTGTGTCCGCAAGGTAAACTGACAGAGAGAAAAGAAATAATTCGTTCAATATAATCCGCTATAAACAGCAGCTGAAACCTTCAGCATCATTTAGATCTATAATTGAGTAATAATGCTCTAATTTTATATTTTATCAGTTTGGATGGCTCTGCAAACCCACAAAGCTTTATCCTTGACCTGACATTGAAGTTTGTTTGATTCTTTAGAGCGTGTAAGAATGTGTTTATTGAATAATTGTGTGCTGCTTTGAGTAGAAGTTGGCGATATGGACTTGGAATTCTGTCACAATATTTTGAGGTCTTATATATAGATTGTGATAAAAAAGAAAAAAGTAATCGTTTTTTTTTTTTTGGGCTATGTCTGTATGGCACAGCATTGTTCGTTAAAAACATTCCCATTTGAAATAGGCTCCATCAGGTCACCAAATACTTAAAAACTTAATTTTATTGACGCTCTCGTGGAACAAACAGCGGAGAAAATGGCAAAAATTATATTTCCAATAATACTGTCAATTTTTATGTTTCAAATTTATACTGACAACAATACATCTAATTTCTTATCACAGATAAGACATTTTTTTACGATAAATGAAACAATACAATAAATGCCCACCAAAATATTTTTGGTCTAGCTTTTAGTGCCAATATTTTGAAATGAGATGAGACCAAGTTACATGGAACCTTTCAGCAAGACTTAGGAACTTGCTGAAAATGGAACAAAACTTTTTTTACACCAGTTTTTATGGTGAAATGAACGGGGGAAAAACTGTCCAATTTCCTACTTTTGTGAGGATTCCAGTTTTCTCTGTGTTTTGGACCCAAAACAGGTGACAGACAGTTCATAGCCACATTTAAATATGTAAAACGTCTTCCCCACATTAAACCAAAAACAAGTTACCAAAAACTCACCATTCGTATGTAAGCTCCGACCGTCACGGCAAAATCTTCTTGCTTCCAATCCCCCGGATCCAACCTTTATAAACCCATCGTTTGTAAAAGCGACTAATCTAGCAACCTTTCCACAAACCTATTCAGAGAAAGTAAACACTTGAGAGTTTGAAGTTCTGCACAAAAATCTTCCTGAAGAAAAAAAAAATCTCCACTTGAGAAGGTTATTGAAGACTCTTGGGGGGGCAAATGAGAAACATGTGAAGTGGCTGTCAGTCCCCGGAAAAGTTTGATTAGTCTGCCACTATGGAGGAGCGTTTATTTGCGCAGGGACTCGCTGTTCAAGATGTACAAACACACCTGTCTGATGAAAGCCCAGCTCTGGGTATGAATGCTAAAAGAATGACAAGCTACATACATGGTGCTACTGGCTTTTCGTTTAAACGGGAACTGGTTTTACTTTCGATTCCTCTGTTTTCTCAGATGAAACGGTCATGTGTCTTTCCTGCGACTCGTATTTTTGTTTCTCTTTGGGTGTCAGAATGTTTCGTAGAACCAGAGTCACAAACTTTAGTGAAATGACATAAAACAAAGGCTGCCACAGCTGGAGCTCTTCTTGGAGGTCGTGACCTCTGTCATATTGACTAAGAAACAAAGTGGCAGAGCCGGCCATCGGTCAGTGACACTGATGGATAGAAGCTCTAATTGTGCCGAGGGGAAAGTGTTTCTGAGTGGAAGTGTTTCACGCCGTGGTTTATGTGGTAAGGTTTTATTTTTGGCAGCTTCAGCTCATGTTTTTCAGTCTGGTGAGGAAAAACTCCAGTTTAAAACCGTTTCCTCATGACTTCACCTAGCACATTAAGCAAAAAAAAAAGAAAAAAAATTAAAAATTTCTCAGAAATTTAAACTTTTTTTTTTTTCATTTCCGCTCTAATGACTTGTACCCAGCTTTGCCATGGCGCGTCATGTTTTACTTATATTCATATCCAATCAATTTGAATAAGTTTTGTTTGTCAGATTAAAAGAACCTTTTGAAAATAACAACCATTAAGGCTTTAAGCACTTCACATCAAGCCCACATTTCTATTTTAAATGTTATGTTTTCCATTAGCTGCAAGTGGAAAATCACAATTGACAGGAACAAAGGCTTTCTAGTATCCATCTGTGTGTAATTAATCTATGTAATGTCTCACTTAGTTTAGTGATAAAACAAATCGGCTTTTCAAAAATAATCTAATTTCTTTCCCGCATAGAGGATCTCTGGTGAACAGGAGAGTGCTCACTCCGTCTTTTTATGTGAGCAAGCAGCTACATATCCATTTAGCATAATCCTGTTAGAAAGCTCTGTTCTGCTGACAAAGCTAAATTTAAGTGTGCCTTTTATATTTTTGAACTAGCAATGTCAACTTTATTTCTACTGCAATTTACAACAATCGGGTTGCACCAAAGGACTGCACAGCAAGAACAAAATAATTAGTAAGAGTCGTTAAAAGGAGACAAAAATAACAGTAGACATGAGTTAAAATAATTAATTAGCTTAGAAAGCCAAAAAAACTTGTAAAAAAACAGAACTAGTTTAAAAATCAAGCCAAAAAAAGTCAACGAATTTTGGTGATTGAGTTAAACATGTCTAGCTGTGTTTATTGAAAACATGTTTCATCATTTCACAGTAATGTTTCACCAGGTGTATTTGTGAAGCTCTTTATCCTCTAATGTCTAGACTGGAACATTTCACCGTCATCGTTTACCTCCAGCAGAAACCTCAGCTCTCACTTAGCAGGTTAAATGCTGTGTTTCAGTTAATCGCACACACACACACACACACACACACACACACACACACACACATACGGGCACCGTATGTCTGTTTAATGCAAAATGACATCCCTTCCTGTGAGAAGTGGCAATATCCAACTTAACAGCTCGAGCACTAAGCTCATCCTGATCGACTCTGGGGAAGGACACACTTATAGGGATTGGTTCCAGAGTCACAACGTTGAATGAAGTTGTTTCCAGCTTTATTGAGCTAACGTAATATAACAGCTATTATTATCGTTAAAACATATCTGGTTTCATTCCATGTACATTTCATTCAGTTACATGTTAACACTTTGATTCTTCCTTCACTTTGAGGAAGAATCAAAGTGTGAGTAGCTATGAAAAGAAAACTGTAGCACATAATGAGGCATGTCGGTTGTTTCGTTCAGGCAGATCAACAGAAAGTGTGAATTTGTCTGACCTTTTCCATCCTGAGTGACCTCGTACTTTGTTAGTTTTCATCGTTTCATACTCGGTTGTTTCAGTATGAAGACAGGACGGCAGTCATACCCCTGATTCCTTTATTGAATCAGGACAGAGAGAGAGAGACTCAGGCAGAAAACAGGAAGGCTAAATTCACCTTCGGTCTGTCCTGGAACATTCAGTACTTGGAAATGTTGGCGACCTTTTTTAAAACAAGGTGAAGGGCTGCGTTCACTTTGCAGTTGCAACTTGATAATCATTTTGCTCTTTTTTTTAATAGTAAAACCTTGTTTCACAGGTCTGTTCCTCACATAGACGATGTAACTTCTGATTCTTTTTTTGCTTTGTTGTTGATTCTGATTCATCTCCGTTCGCTGGCAGCAGGAAGACTAGCAGGAAATAAAAAGTTACAACATCGACTGAACAAAACAAGGAAGCCGTTCAGTTTTTATTATATAATAAGTGTTGATTTTCAGCTAAGCTCTGAAAGCATCTTATTTTTGTCAGACACATTCGAATAAAAAGGGTAAAAAGTATTTTCTCTAACTCTCAGGTGATCCTCCTTCAGTTTTTACTGACATCTCATTCCTTTGGATTCTCCTCTTTCTCTTTTTTTTATCCTCCTCACAAACCTCTTCCTTCTCGCGTCAGTGTTTCCGATTGGCTTTTTTGTCTTTCTTGCATCAGCTCTGACAAGCGGCAGACATCCAGCCATCGAAAACCCGAACATCAGAATGGATCGCGTCATCCCGGGAGTCTCTTGATTCCTCTTCTCTCCTCTCTGCAGGTGAGCGGGATCAACGCGTCGCTGAGCAGGAAGCGTGAGCAGCGCGTCCTGTTCATGGTGGTGATCATGGTGATCTGCTACCTGCTCTGCTGGATGCCGTACGGGATCATGGCTCTGCTGGCCACCTTCGGGCCGCCCGGCCTGGTCACGCCCGAGGCGAGCATCATCCCCTCGGTCCTGGCCAAGACGAGCACCGTCGTCAACCCGGTCATCTACGTCTTCATGAATAAACAGGTGAGAGGAAGCAGAGAGCGAGGATTCGAGTTGAGGTCACTTGTTGTTTTTGAGTCTTGGTTTGAAACGCTTACAGCAGGTTTCTCTAAAGTTTTCAAGGGGTTTTGATTTAACATCCGCTTTGTGTTTCTGTAAGGAACTTTTTCAAATTTACATACAGAATAATTTACATTCCTATGTGAGCAAATAAGATAAAAAGCTGCTGCTTTGTTATTTCTTATTTGGTTAAAATAAAATGTACTGAAAATACAACCTTGAAGAATCTCAGTCCAATAATTTGGGATATGATGGCGATAAAAACTATATTATTTATATCTGTATCGGATATTGGAAAAAAAAAATTAGATTGGGTATCGTGACGATGTATCCGGTCCTTAAGGACTGATCTATTCACTCTAATTCTATACTTCTATATTGGCTGTTCTACTCCTAATTGCACCAACTGAATAGATTAAAGTTGTTTTTACATGTTTGACCAAACTTGTGAAACGATTGGTACATTTATATGTGCTGTTCTGGTGCAGTTATCTAATTAATTTGTAATTCATTACATTTATGTCTGTGTTGGAGGGGGAAGGAAAATTATCAGTCAATTCAGCAGTTTTTCTGTATCGGATCGGTATCGGCCAATACTAAACCTCAGATACTGATATCGGTATCGGATGTGAAAAACGTGGATCGATGCATTCCTATTAATCAAACAATAATCTTCCCATTTCCATAAATCCCAGGTCACTTTGAACAAATCTACTCTATACATTTTGCTGTCGACGTCTGGACGCCCTTCCTGTCATTCCACCAAATTCATGGTTTGAACTTCTTGTCAGAACGTTCTGGACTCATTATCCAAAGTGTTGACGGTTAAATTCACACTCTGCCTCAGTCCATCTCGTCAGACGTCCTCTTAAAATAGAAAGTTAACTTTCTATTATTCGGCTACATCACAGGGGTTCCCAAACTTTCTCATGCATTAGCTTTGCAAATGCTGTAAAGACACATCAACTTTCAGAATGCTTACTTTTATCAATGTAATTAATATCTATTTTAATAATGCAAACCATAACTACTGGGAGAAATGAAGTGTGAATATCACTTAGAAATATGAAAAGTACACCATTATTATGAGACAAACAACTGAAATGATGTTGGGTCGAAGGGAAAAGCAGAACTTTGTTAAAAATTGACGTGAATACACAAATTACTGGCTTCTAGAAGCAAATAAACAAGTCGGTCTCGGCCTGGCTTATTGTTTCATGACCGAGGAGCCGTAGGGTGACGAGATGAAAGCCAAAGCAACAGAAAGAGCTGGAAGAGGAACTCCAACATCAGATATTTTCTCCGGCGGCACGTCTGATCAGAAACCAGCTGCATGCACACCGAATGGGAAACACAAAGACTTTGAGTAGAAATATTCAATCACAGCCGACCATAAAAGCAATGTCACATAATTTTACGCACTTCTTGTTCTTTTTTTTTTTTGTTATTTAATTAGATCCGGTGAGCAATGAAAACAAGTCTGTTTTTGTTCCATAATTCTGCCAGACGTCACTTATCCAGCAGGGAGTTTGGAGGTCAGAAAACAATGGCCGAGGCAGATCCAAGAATCTCCTCACTGAAAATTAAATTAATGTATTTTGAGGAAAAGATGTGATGAATATAAATCGGATTTACTGACCCTCGTTGACTTATTAATAAGAATGCTCCTGCAGCCATGCCGCAAAGATAAATGGGGAAAAAAAAGGGAGCTTTGGGCAGAAGTTGTTGAAGCAGGACTCCAGTTACTTTTAATTTGGTCTCACTTGTCAGTCTGTTCCTTCATGAAAATATATTATTATTATTACTGATAATTGTTGATGTGGCACCTTTGTGCTCACGGGATAAATGAATAAAAAAATTTTCTGTTCTCCAGGGTCTCTCAGTAATTTCAACTATTCCAGCTGTTTTTCTCAGCGGACTTCAAAACATGTTTTCAATGTCAGGGCTTTAAAAAAAAAACTTCACGTGAAGAGCTCTTAACCTGCTGTGTAGCTGTAGAAAAATTCCCTAAATAGTTGAATGAGGTCAGAACCTTGAGAGTTCTGGGAATCTTGTGGGATTAAATGAATTTTAACAAATAAATGTTGGTTAATGTATCAGTTTTCAAATTTTGATTAACAAGCTAAATTACAACAACTGATGTTTATCGCCTCATGCACAGAGTCCACATGCTGCAGAGGACTAATGAGAACACTCTGGTCAGGTTGGGCAATCCTCAATTTAGTTTTGCTTATTGTTTGATCTTTTTCTTTTTTTCCTCTGGATTCTTGTGCTGGATTCTGTATTGAAGTTGTTTAAGACAGTGGCGTCCAAAGTCGGGTCTCAAGGGTTTGCGTCCTATAAATTTTAGATGTCACCCAAATGATTGGCTCAATACCAGGCTGGTAGAGAAGTTGATGACATGTTGATTAGGTCATTTAGCTTTTGAAATCAGCTGTGTTGGAACAAGGACGCAACTTAAAGCTGCAGGACGCTGGCTGTTGAAGACTGGAGCTTGACAGCTTTGGTCTAAACACACAAGTGTGTTCAGGACAAAATATAGGCAAAAATACAGTCCAGTTCAGAGCAAATCAGATTTCCAAAGGCTGGCTACAAAGTATTGATGGGGCACATATAGGTGAGGTCATCAGCCCTGTCCACACGGAAATGAACTTTTGTAAACAAAGTCCACAACACGGGTAGACGCAGTAAATGCTGCAGTAGGTATGCCAGGCCAATCGGTGGCGCTGTAACACTGCCACTGAACGACGTGCAGAAAATGTAAAACACCAAACAGCGCCATGTTTGCCCGTTTGAATTCACTGTTTTTAAAACCGTTTTAAACAAAGAGTGTACCGCTAACAGCTTCTTCTCCCAGTGCTAACTATAGAAACAACCAATCAGAGCCAGGGGGCGGGTCTTAGTGCTGTTAGTCATGCTTGTTTACACCCCACTCACACTCTCCCCCTGCTAAGCTACAGCTTCTTCCTTATTACAGAGTTTCTTATTATAGGTGGAGAGCAATTTTATCACAGATTATCTCTCTAGCATTGGACCAACACATCATGGTGACAGGTTTAACACATTTTTATAAAAGTTACATTCCTCAGCTTTTAAAATGATGCAGAACTCGTTGGTCTTTCCCTTGCCTTCTAAATAAAATACTCTGGAGTTTCTTGTTGTGATGTGATAAAATGTGAAAAGGTTGGATGGGTGTTCACAGCTTCACAGATTGCCTTTTTTTATGGGACATAAACAGAACATCAGCAGAAAAATGCAGACAACATCTGACTGCTGCTGTGGTTAAATCCTGCAACATAGATGGGGTTATTGGAGGTATTGTCACACCCTTTCTGTGCAGACAGCTGATCAAAAATCCCCACCGAAAGAGTTTGTAGTTATTCATTTTAGCCATTTATTTTACACAGTTAAATGTAGATTTTCTTATCCCGTCAGCACAGATGACTTTTATAACTCGCTAAGGGACTTCACACATTTAATTAGAGATTATGCCGTCCCAGAAGTCTTAACACCACTTCTGCCAGTGAGACAAAAAAAAAGTTATGAAGCAAAATTTATCAGCCTTGATGACATAAAACCACAGCAAAAATTCAAACTCAAATGAATCACCCTCACCAGCTAACGGCTTCCTTTTTTTTTTTTTTTTGTTGTTTAATGACTTCTTGCAACGACTTTGGATGCGCCTTTTTATCCAAAGTTTACCCTTCATAATTCCTGCTCCGTTTGCTCTCTACGCCTCCTTATCAAGTTGCTCTGTAAAGCAAATCCCTTTGTGCCAACCAATACGTTTAGACACATGATTAAAGATGTTTTCTTCCCCTTCTGAAATATTGTTCATCACGGTGAGAAAACATAATGGGAGATAACTGAGATTGTCTCCACCAGAGCCGACGAATAAAACATTTTCCTCAACGTAATCTTTATTATCGCTTCGTGGTCCAAGTGAAGCTCAAAAAGGTTTAGAAAAATATTCCCTTCAGACCTTGTCAGAGAGATTTATACTGTACCAAAAAGAAATAATAATAATAATAATAATGTACAGTTCTCTGTGCTGGAAAAGGAAATCTTATCTCCAAAGCCATTTGAAGTGTAAACTTTCTCCTCAGTTACAGTCAAGAGTTTTATTATTGTACAGACGGAAAGTTGGAAAAAAGAAAAAAGACACAGTAATTGTTTCCCTTTGGGATGACACTGTTTGTCACTGTTAGCTTGTCAGCTGACTCACTGATTGACCTTAGAGAGACACTGGAGTCCAAACGCCATCGACCTCGAAGCAGCTCGAACGAGACGGCAACGAGCGGGGGGAACACCGAACGTCCTGTATGTCATTTTCAGTCTTCAATTCCTCCCAGCCCGTTACTATGGAAACTGTGAGTTGAGGCGAGTTGAAGACTAAAAATGCTGTACAGATACAAGTAGCAGCTGGTGTGCGTTTGTCCTCATCCACAGTTGGCGGCGGTCACGGCGCAGAGGCCTGGGGATGAAGGGTAAGTTTCCTCTGAATCCTCTTTGTCTCCTTCTGTGTGGTCTCCACTAAGTGTCAGCTGTGCTGTTACAAAGTTGTAAGTGTTTTTGTCTGAGTCCTATCAACGCCTGTTTTTCCTTCACAGTCGACAAATGTGTTTGCTATATAACAGTGGGGTAGACTCTGACCACAAGGGGTCTGTAGGAGTGAATTTGATAGAGAAAAGGAGATTTTTCTAGGAAATGACAAGCCTGGCCTTTAGCTTCCTGCGCTATTCCTCTCTATTTAAAATTAGCTTCACAACACAGTCTGGGCTTTCTCTCGTTTACTTGAATTCCCTTTGGTAGAATATACACATATATATAAGTTATTATTTTTTCACAGTTTGGGCAGGTTTTGTTTTCTGGATTTTCTCATCACAAACCAGTAATGGAAAATTAAAAAGTAAAACTTAAGGATTTTTGTTTAAAAGAAAAGCATGTTTAAGTTGAAAGACTTA